TTCGTTGCCTTCATAGTAGCATCTTATTTTTCACTATGGCGAGCCATGTCAGATATGAATCTCATTTTAAATCATGCCAATAGTATTGGCCGTAAAGAGAGAGGAAATTTCTTGCTTTAAAAAAATTTCCCACTGGAAATCTCAACTCAATTTATTTATTCCCTCATTTCCATGGCAACACAGGAAGACAACAATCGCAGGGTATAAAACCCTTGCTCATTCCTGTTTTCTTTACCTATGCTTGGGAAGACAACATTTTTTCTTAAGCTTCTATTTCTCTTTTTTTTCCTAGACGGATTGAATGCCGCTTTGGCAAAACCATTCTCGGGTGCGAAATTAAATGTCGGCAACTCCATCAAAAACCGAAATAAAATTTTTGGTAATGTCCTCCCTGGTATCTATATATTAAATATCACCTCTTCTATTTCATCGGGTGTTAGCTCCCAATTTACCATCTATTCAGAAACTGGGATTGATGTAAATGTCGACACTTCCATCAGCATCGAAAACACTGGCTCCATCCCAGTTACATGGACACCCTCTGCAGGAGCGATCTTCAATGTCGTCGCAATCCTGAGTAGTATTTACTCTCCCTCATCCGTGTTCAAGAACGTAACCATTCCTGACTCTGGTATGGCCGAAATTTCTGTTTCACAGTTTGGTTCGACCATTGCGTCCGGTGAGTATAGCCTTACCATTGTAACCCCCCTTGGTGCAGGAATTTCAAATACATTCCTGATCCTTTCTCAGTATATCGATGTTACTTTGTCTAACTATTCTGTTCATATTGGAAAAAACATCTCTGTGTACTGGAGACCATTTGAATGTAACGAGACTGCCAACATTTATGTGAGGGATATGAACTCTGAAGCCTCATATCATGTTGCAAAGAACATTTCTGATAAGGGTTACTACAACATTTCTCTTGGAACAATTGCCGCAGGTGCCTATAAAGTTGAAGTGGTATCGTCAATCGGTTCTGGTTCATCCCGTATTTTATACATCTCCAAAGCATCTTTAAATGTAACCGCCATTCCTTCCAATGTATATGCCGTGCAAAAAATATTCATCGTTTGGAAACCGATTGACAGATTGCAGAAAACCGTCGAACTTTCAATTTACAAAGCCTCTAGTCTAGAGTTCAAAGTTTCTGTTCCCAACATCGGCATTTACTCCTTTATCCCTGATGAGATAAATATAGAAGCAGGTGAATACACTTCAATGATCACCTCGAAACTTGGAGTTGGGATAACTTCATTTTCAGTATACTCTCCGATCGTATTAAATGTAACTGAGCCAAATGCTTCCGTTGTTTATAAAAATACGACCACTAGTCTCCCTGTTCAATGGAGTTCTTCTGGTGTACTTTCTGGCAAGGCTAGTATCAAGCTTATCGATGTTATCTCTGGTTATACTTATAACTTCACTGCAGTTAATAATGGATTTCTTACTATTGACCTTTCAACTTTGGGAATATTAAACACTTCCCATTACAAGGTTGTTGTTACTTCTACAACGGGAAAAGGTTCCTCTCAAGAATTTTCTATCTTGGCAGCAGGAAACATCGTCGAAACGTCTGCTTCAGACACAGTTGGAGTTTCAAATGTTGGGACCCTCAACATCACATGGGTGCCCGTTGAGCCTCCAGGTCAAAATATTACCATTTGGATCTTTCAGCCCGATTTCCCATCTATTGTTTATGGGCCATTCAGCTTCCCAGATAGTGGTCTCGCTACTATTAACCTTTCAGACCTAATGGGTAGTAAAACGCCAAAGACTTATCAGACGGGTGAATCGATATTTGAAAGGGCTAAGATCCCGCAATATATTGTATCTTCTCCCGATAGAGTATCGAAAAAGGCCTTAAAGCCATCAATTGGCGCATAGATAATTTTAGAGTAAAAATAAAATTTTGGCCCAGTTTATGATTTTTGAATTGTTGGTTGTGTTGCTGGCTGTATTTTTGGAATGAATAAATACTTTATTGATCAACTAAGCTGGCCTGCGTTTCTTGGGCTGCCAATATACCAAAGTGCTTCGTTTTTTAATTCGCCAGTACACAGGGACCAAATAGATAAGTCACATTGCAGGCCAAGTTATCTTGAATGGCTTCTCATTGGAAGTTCTTTTGGGTTTCTGGCAATTTTTGATGTGGAGTTTAAAATCCTCTTGCAGGCGTTTCGACTAGAGGGGTTTAGCTCCATCACTTCCATTATCTTGTTTCCGTTTGAATGGGACGAGATCTCCTGTCTCCCCTTCAAAAAGGATATCTACAACGGCAAAGATAAAGATATCGCACAAATTGAGCACTCCAAATTATTTGAGGATTTCTTTTCTCAGATGACGATTTCTTCTGAAAAGCACTACACTTCCATGTATGGTCCAAAACATCCCTTATCAACATCCGTTAACCAGTGGAATATTAGGGTTTTGGTTGCGGGGAAGGGATATCGAACCCCTCATTGTTCCCTTTGGGAGCTGTCATCCAATGGCGAACAGCTATTGCCCCTTGCTGTGATTTACCATTCCTTGGCTACAATCCACATTCCTGTACGTCAAATCATAGGCTCAAGTAAATTGGAATGCATTTCAGTCCCGCTTTCCTGCTTGAACGTCCATTCGCTGTTAAACAGAACAAGTGTTGCATTTTCTTGTTTAATTTTCTAGAAAACCTTCCAACGTGGGAATCTAAAATCCAACTACTTTCCCAAGGTGAGATCATCATATCGTTTTCCGATAAAAAGACATCCACCACATCTTTCATCAAAATTTCATCTTTGCTCGATTCTATCTGAATCGGTTGCTTGTATGTTCGTTTAGGGCTTGGTCATTTGGTAAATTTATTGGTGACGTCATCCAGAAGCATAACTGGTAACATAAAGTCATTCCTGATCCTGTACAATGGCAGTACCCGATTTTTCCTAGTAAAAATTAATATAAGCCAATTCATACATCCAGATTTGAAAGCAAATCTGACAGGCGCTTGTATTCAGAGTTTTTTTCGCTCGATTGCGATCTTATTTTCAGCACCAGCCCTTCATTATCTTTCTTTAAGAGTGAAATTTGCGAGCAAAGCTTTGAATTCTCTTCGCCCAGAATGGCAATTTCGTTAATATATTTAGCAAGCGTAGACTCTGTACTGGAAATTACCTGCCTATTATCCATTCGCTCCTTGATTAGTTGCTGCATTTTCCTAATGACCCTAGAAAGTATATAAAACGTATGGATAACTTACAAAAATAAAACCAAAACCATCCCCGTAAGATAAACATTTCTCTGCGCATAAAATAGCGTCGAATATAGGGCTGATGATTGGAAGGAATTATGATGGTGATGGTGGCTTTGCGGGCGATGCATATTGCGATTGTTCATTGATCCAAACTCTGAAGAATCCGTTTGCAAAGGGCCAGCATATGAAGTTAATTCGCTGATGGCGGTGTGGAATTTTAGCATCTTATGGAAAGAATCTAAGAAAAAGATGAAGACCAGAACGAATATGGCCATTGCGATTCGATTGACCAAAGAAGAACGACTTGTCTTTATCAGGGCTAGCTCTATAGAAGACTTGATGATAAATGGAATTGGAATCAGAAAAAGTGCGATGATCGATAATTCACCAATAAGAATGGAAAAGACGATTGAATATTGAAGAGACATTATCCTGAAAGCTGCGATATGGAAAATAATTTTTTACCATTTTAAGTTTAAATTTAAATTTTCATATGTCCCTTCAAGTGATTTCGACCTTGAATTCGAGGGCTGAGTTCAATGAAATTTACAATCATTACCATGCAGGAAACTACCTGGGCACAATCCAGCTCGTCGAAAGATATGCTCCACGCGAATCTTCTTCGGAAATAATTAGGGCAGTTTATCAGGTGTATCGTTTATTTTCTCTATACGCACTGTCGCAATTCAGCAAATTGATGGAAGAGAGCAGCCGCCTTTCAGAGGTATCATCTGACGCGAGATTAAAATCTTTGTTTGGCTACTTTAAGAGCCTTTGCTCTTCAGCGAACATGGCAACCAACAGTCCTGCAATTAAAAATTTTGCCTTGACAGAGAATTCCGAAGAGGAAATCATAATAAGGCATTTTAACGAGCTTATTTACACCTCGTTGTTGATCAAAGAAGGGAAAATCTGCCATGCAATTGATCTGCTTTCAGCGGA